CAGTTAAATAGTAATATGTTATCATAATTGGTAGGCTCAAATGTAACCTTGGTACTTCTCTCATTTGTGCAGACAATATTCCGGAATCCTAGAGCTGCTAAACCATATACGGTTCCCCACCCTGAGCGCTGCAACTTACCTGCTGCAGCGATGCAGGCTTCTTCTGATTCCCTTGTAATTGTTGATACAAATGCACCGGCTGCTCACGTAGCTCAGCATAAATGGCAACCAAATACACCAGATGGTCAGGGAGCACCTTTCCTCTTCCAACATGGAAAACCTGGTGCTAGCTCAGCTGGTGGAACATTCATGCGAATGTTCAAGGGGCCAACTGGCTCTGAGTCAGAGGAATGGCATTTCCCTCAAGCCCTGGCATTTGCAGCTTCTGGAATCAGAGGCTCGTCTGTAGTTGCAATTACATGTGACAAAGAAATTCTTACAGGCAAGCAGTATATATTCTATTTATTTAAATCTAAAAATTATCTTAGTTATCTAAATACCGTTGTGAAAGAATGATATTTTAGTTCATTACCACCAATTAGAAATATCTTTATATTTGTTCTATTGTTTTGGGGGTTAGTGAATAGTTTGCATACTTCCATCTTATAACAATATTTTAGTGGTCAACCCTCACTTACCTAAGGCAAGATTCCTTAGCCGATTTACTGCTTTTGATGTTTTGCAAATGTGGTTGGGAATTACTCTCCCTGTTCCATTTGAAGTTGCATTCTTTCTTTTTAAATCTGTTCCAAAAGAATGATACCTTCCTTTGTTGGGAAACAATTTAAATTTGAGACTTCATATTTTGTCTTTAATGACATGCTTTTATAGCCACAGAAATGTCATTGCATGATTGAAACGGCAAGTTCCTAAAGTCTTTCTTTCTTTGTTAAACTCCATACCCAGTCCAGCACTACCACGTAAAGTGAAAAGGGAGGGAGTATATATTAGTGTTCATTTTGTTATTTTCTTCATTTATCTCATTTCTTAAGTTAGAACTACTAGAGAGCTTGTGTCTGGAAATCATGTCAGAAGTCTAGAACTTCAGTTGTTTTGATTTATGAGAGTGCCCGGGGGTTCCTTAGTTGGTAGGGAAAAAAAGAGTCTAATTAAAAAGTATTGAATAATTTGAGTGCAAGACTTCCCAATGAAGGGAGATCAGTATTGCATGTGTATGTTGTTACTGAAACCTAAACATACTGACTAATAGGAGTTTCTGCACTTGAATCTAGGTGGCCATGTAGACAACAGCGTACGACTGATATCATCAGATGGGGCAAAAACTTTAGAAGTAGCCAGAGGACATTGTGCTCCTGTAACATGCCTGGCTTTGTCTTCAGATAGCAATTATCTTGTAACAGGGTCTAGAGACGCCACCGTGCTTCTCTGGAGAATAAATAGGGCGTCAACACCGCGCAGCAGCAGCACATCAGAGGCTTCCACTGGTTCAAGCACACCTTCAACCAGTACTACACCAAACAGCTCGAGAGATAAAAGTAAGAGGCATCGAATTGAGGGTCCCATACATGTCCTTCGAGGCCATCTTGGGGAAATATTATGTTGCTGTGTGAGTTCAGATCTTGGTATTGTGGTTTCATGCTCCAGTTCGTCAGATGTTTTGCTACATACCATAAGAAGGGGTCGATTGGTCAGAAGGCTAGTTGGAGTGGAGGCACATTCTGTTTGTCTGTCATCTGATGGAATTATAATGGCTTGGAACAAATTCCATAAAACACTAAGCACCTTTACTCTTAATGGGATTCTTATTGCTAGGACTCAGTTTCCTCCCTGCTCCACCATTAGTTGCATGGAGATTTCTGTTGATGGACAAAATGCTTTGCTTGGGGTAAATCCATATTCTGAAAATGATGGACCATTGGACAACAAGTCTATGAAGTGGCAAAAGCCAGAACTTGGAGATTCTGATGGAGAATTAGATGAAAACAGTGAAGGAAATAGATTAGATATCTCTGTACCTTCAATCTGCTTCCTCGACATGTTTACTTTAAAGGTATAATGAAGCCTTTCTTTGGACCTTATTTTTCTTTCTCTTTTCCTGTCCAAGTTAATACTGGCACCATTAAGTGAGGAGCTGTAAGGCAGACCGTCTAGTTTGTTTGTTTGCTGCTTTGCCAAGTTTGGGTTGTGTATGCTGCTTCTTAGCACCTTCTAACCAATGCAACTAGACATCCCTTTTTCTTAGTTGCTTGATAATAGGACCCATTTCCCACCATGCTTTGCATATATGTATGAACTAGAAGCTGATATTTTGGCTTGCAGGTATTTCACATTATGAAGCTTGGAGAGGGTCAAGATGTTATGGCTCTGGCTCTGAACAAGGATAACACTAATCTCTTATTATCGACAGCTGATAGGCAGTTGATAATCTTCACAGATCCTGCAGTAAGTTGAATACTCTCTCTTTGTGGTAAGAGTGTTTTGCTAATGGTGACTTTTGGGTTCTATTTCCGATTTCACCCCTATCTTCTTCTTTCTATAAATATCTCCAAGTGAGTAGATATATGAAATGTTAGTGCAGTTCGTGTGACTCTTTAAGTCCTACACACCTTTGATTTCGTGTCAAGTTGCATTTTGTGGATATTAATGGGCCATGAGATATCTCTTTGATAGTTATGTTTAACAGTTCTTTGTGGAATATCATTTCCCTTTTTGAATCCCACTGGGGCTAGGAAGTAAGCCCCACAACCCAAAGCGGCGAAGAACAAATAGAATTTGCTATTTTTATTATGTAAAAGATGTGACCTTAACCTTTGGACATACAATATAGAATGATAGTTTTGATCTACCATATCCTCACTTGTCTGTGTCACACTATCAACTCTTTCATGAAATTTCTTCTCTTCCCTACCCCACGGGCCCCGCCTCCACATAATATGAAACAAAAGAAAAGATTAGAGTATCCCCCAAGTTCCATTCCGTTAGAAGAAAATTTACAGGATTACGTACTGGAAAATGACTGCTAAGAGAATCTCCCTGTTGAAGTGTCAAATGAGTTCCATGGTGAGTATAGATGGTAAGAGGGGTGAGAGCTTTTGAAGCTGGAAACTTCGGTGCTCATGGGTGTGGAAAAAGTTTATCCTGATTAATATTTTTGGAGAAATTGAGTCTGTTCACTCTCAAAAAAAAATAATCTTAGAAATTGAATACCAATTTTTTACCACTCTGAGCGCTGTAACATGCATGCTAAATTGCTAATTTAGTTGTTTGATATAAGAAATACAATAAAACAGAACATATGAAATAAGGATTGAATTTATTCTATATGTATGCATTTTTTATCTACTTATTTGTTATTGTGTTTAGGTATTTAAAGAAAGGTGTTTGTTTGATATATATGCCATATCTTAATCAACTGAAAACTGGCTCGTCATTTCTTTTCCAAGAAGCTAATAGCCAAAACCTACTTTACTAGTCTTGTACCCTTGTTACTTTTAAACCAGTACCGATGATCATAATTTGATTCCCGCCAATCTGATTACTGAGGTTTTCTGGACAAGAGTTATGCAATGTAATCTTGCTGGGTAGCTTTTTAACCTGATGTAATTGATAAAACCAGTATAGTAGTTACTACTTCAACCTCTGTGTGATGGGAGGATTTATTCAATCACATAGTTTGGGCTCCTATAATATGGCGCAATTTGGGCTTTCTATAGCTTATAAACATCTTAGTGTTGACTCTCCATCCATATCTGTATGCAGTTGAGCTTGAAGGTAGTAGATCAAATGCTTAAGCTGGGTTGGGAAGGTGATGGACTCAGCCCTCTTATGAAGTGAAGGTTTCAGGATACTGGACTTCGATTTACAAAGGGTTAACCAAAGTTTCTCCTGATGAAAATTACATCCATATCTTACAAGATGAAAGGTGCTGCTATGGGTCATGCAATTTGGATACTTAACTGACGCGACAGCTCCATCTCTTGACTGTATCATAATCACTGTGCGATGAGGATAACATTTCAACATTTCGACATGTAACATGAGTGTAATGTATTAGGTAAACCACAAGGCTGTCCAGTAGTTTTTTACTGTTCAGCATTTTTATTTCTATTTTGGTTTGAAAATCGCTATAGTTGTACATGCTGTCCAATTGTTTGATGTTAGAGTATAGGAAATTTAGCCATTTGTTCATTTCTGTTTACCCCTTTCTCAATCAGCGTATTGGGACTTACGTATCAAGGAATCACAGTCAAGATACTCCCTTGTAAATGTTCTCTTGTAAGATATGTTTTTTCATCTTTATTTAATTGCTTCTCTCAGTTCCTCATTATTTTTTATTATTATTTTGGCATAGAGACATAGTTGAGACACGTGTCACACAGATTTGCGCACACTGTGTGTAAAGGTACGTGTATATATAATTTTCCAATGAACCTGAGTTATACTGAATCTTGCTGGTCATTGGAACTGAGAAGTTCTGTTGTTTATCGTCTTCAAAGCAAGTTAATGCCCATAAATTAAAGAAAAAATAATTATAGAAGCTTCACATCTATCAAACAAAGAACTGTATTAACTACATATCAGTCACCAGAAGGTAGAAAATCTTAAGGTTGCTTATTTATGTGAAATTTCTTGTTCAACATCTCTGCTGTGACGTTCTAGCAATTGGCATCTGAACCACTTACAGCTTAATGAAGTTTCTAATAAGCCTTCACAACTAACGATTAGATTTCAAATTTTTGTGTCTTCCTTATTGACAGTAGTAGACAAAATGACGATTCTTTTCAAATGGATTGAATAAACTTACATGTTTGTCATTCAACACAAAATGAGGCTAACCAAAGGGCTAAATGATAAAAGATTTTATAGACCATCTAAGAACCATAGCAATTTCAGTTACAGGAGGGTAAAACAAGAAAAATGTGTAGCAATGACACCTTTTGGTCTGTTCAGTGTTATTTGATAAACTTCTTACATTCTAGAAGAAGAGGGTTGGCACTGTCATGTTTGCTATCTTTGGTATATATAGCTCACCAAGGACATCCTAACATATGTATGGCTCTCATTCATTGGCCCTATCTGTGAAAGACACGAACATGCAGTCCCCCATTGATGTGAAGATTAATCATTGTCCTGTAGTTGACAGTCTTCTTGTCATCACTCAGCTTGAAAACAAAGTAACTTAACAACACAGAAGAGAATATCTTCATCTGCCTGAAAGCAAATTCCTTCCCCAAGCAGATTCGCGGGCCTGCCTGTTTTATAAACAGAAGAATGACTTGGCTAGTTAATGTGACAGTATAAATGCACTAAGAAAGTTGATGGTGATAGGCATTTCATCTTGGATTCTTTGACAAATGATGGTAAAACTGATAAGGAGCTTTAACCAACCTGGAAAGCTGTAAATTTGAAGGGGCTCTCTGGCCTGAAGAAACCATCCCCATCAAGCCATCTCTCTGGTTTATATTCTTCTGCATCATCGCCCCATATAAATTTCATTCTTCCCATTGCATATGGTTGGTAAGACACCATGTCCCCTTTGTTCACACTGAATCCATCGGGTAAGGTGTCATCGGAAAAGCATATTTTTCCATCCTGCAGTAAAAGGAAAACAAAAATTACAACTTTATAACATGCATCTAATTGGCGGGTGATGTATGATAAAGTAAGTTCTTTATTACCACTGGAACTGCAGGATAGAGCCTAAGAGTCTCGGTCAATGCTGCATGAAGATATTGCATCTTTTCAAGGGCATCTTCACTCACATTGGCAGCAAAATCTGTTATGTCTGTTGCATCTTCTTTCTCAGCTGTTGCTTCTTTAATCTCTTGTGCTACTTTTTCCTGTACATGAGGGTACTTGCATAGCACATATATGAACCAAGAAAGGGTGGTTGCTGTTGTATCTTTGCCAGCTATTATGAAGCTCAATATTATATCACGCAAAAACTTTGGATCTGTTCCAGTTATTTGCAGAAACCTTGACAAAATATCTTCTTTCTTCCATTGCAACTGGAAAAAGATTATAATGTCTAATTAGCATCTGTCCGCATTAATAAAAGTAGTAGATATAAGACGATTAACCTACAGATAAATCAGCTTCTGGTCTACACATCTGTTCAGTCTTTCTGTGGATCAGCTTATAAACAAACTCATCAATAGTTCTTATATTGTTTCTTAACTTGGCTTCTGATCCGATATTGAGAGTTCTTTTAATCTTCCAGAAGATATCAACATATCTCCAAAGTGTCATTTCACTTGCATTGTCAAATGCATCGCCAAACTTTTTGCCTTCTTCATTTGAACCACACATGCTATCTAGCTCAACTCCAAAGGCAACTTTGAATATAGAATCTAGAGTTGCTTTCATGAAAAGATCCTGCATTCATGAAACTGTGTATACTTGTCTGGTGAAAACAAAAAAGGGTTGTTCAATTAAGACTTACTTGAATGTCCACCGTCTTTTCAGAACTGGCTGCTTCAGACAATATATGGGCAAGCTTTGCCACATTTTTTCTAAAGACCACACTGCTGAAATCCCTCAAGACCCTTGTCGAGAATTCATGGCTTGACAATTTCCTCTGTTCTCGCCACTTATCACCATCAACTGTGAAAATCCCATCCCCTAGCAGGTCCTTTAGATTGCTGTAATGATACCTCCCCTGTCGATTATACAAAAATACTCAATTCGCAACCCAAGTATCATTTGTTTACAGTAGACTAGTATAATCATATAGTTTTTGACTGCAACTAATTTGGAAACTGAGGCATAATTGAAAAAAAGATAGAGGCCCCACTAAACTGCAACTAGATAGTTAACCTTACAGCCAGTCAAGAAAGTTAACTTCCTTTTTCCAAACTCCAAATCCTTCGAATTTACCCAAGATTTGATACTAAATTGCAGATGAGAGCTAAAATAGACAGATCTGATTCACATTAAACAAAGAGATTGCTTAACTGCAGCCCTACTCAATAAATCTGTCTACCTCACTCAATAAGAAACTTTTGAATTATTTAATGTACAAGAAACTACTTGTCCTCAACTTCAAAGTCATGAATGCAAAAGTTGCAAAATGATGAAGTTTTTCGAATCTAATCAATATGAAAATAAATAAATAAATGATGGGGATTTCAAGGAGATCGATTATGTACCCTGCCATAGTTGTCAAAGTTAGTTTTGAGAATGTACTCGACGTTAACAGGGTCAGAAGTATAAATCTCACTCCTGAAAGGGCTAATCAATCTGTAAGTCTTGTACTTGCTAGCAAGATCAGTCATGTAATGGTGCAGCCTGTGGAAGTTGATGAGCTGATTGAAAATGGTTCCGCCAATTGGATGGTATCTCTTTTTGCCATCTACTTTTCTGGTCAGAAGATGAAGTATGAATCCACAAAAGACAAGTGAGAGAATGGTAGCTGCAATGGAGATATGAAGAATATCCATGGAAACCCACTGTTGTGTGCTTGTGCATATTTGGCTTATAATGTATACATCATAGGAAGAAAATGACAATTCATTAGGGACCATGTCATAAAAAACAAAGACTAAGGCTAAGGTAAACGCCAAAAGTCTCATTTTGGGTGCTTACCTGCTTTTTCTTCTCATTTTACTTATTATTTTAATAGTCCCGTATTATCCTTTATCCTACTTATTATGAGTAGATCTATCTCGTATTCTCATGAGCGGCTCAATACCTTTAAAAATTCTGTCTTATGCCCCAAAATTGAAGAGCCAATTTTTTAGTAAGAATAAAATTATTATAAACCTTTTTAATGAAAAAATACTCTATATTTTTTAATTTATTTCTCTTTCTTTTTTAGTTTGTTTTGAAACATTAAATAATATTTCTTTCTTTTATTGTCAATTTTTAAATTTAACTTCCACGTGATATATTCAAGATCACTAGATTAAAACTTTACATCTTATAAATAAAAAATAAAAAATAATTAAAAGTTAGATATTCAATTTATTTTTGGTTTTAGGCTACAAATTAGCTTGAGCCGCCACTGCATACCATTTTTCTTATAAGTTTATCTTCCAAATTATTGATGCATGACAATAGGGGTGTTCACGGGTTGGTTTGTGTCGGTTATTGGTCAAAATCAAAACCAAATCAACTTAATCGGTTTTAAAATTATCAAAACCAAACCAAATCAAACCAAATATAATATACATTTATCGGTTTGGTTGTTTTCGGTTTTGGTTTGGTTTGGTTCGGTTATTCGATTATTAACCATACATAAAAATAAAAGAAACAATTCATTCAAAACGTGAAAAAAGTGACAACAATCCATTCAAACGAAAAATAGTTAGAATGATTGGCATTACAGAACTTTCGATCATTGAATTTACTGAATAAAACTTCAAAATTTACTATTTTGGCATAGAAGAAAGAGGCAATGACATTTTCAATCCCACAAAGAATTTCCATAGACACTCATATACATGAAACCAATAAGAAAAATGTTCTCACCTTGGACATTTTTTCTTTCATAAGTAAATTATAAATAAATTTTGATGAAATATATATAAAATCTTTAAAATTGTTAATGAATATAATATATTATGTATGTATAATAATAAAATTTATGTATATAACTTGTTGGTTCGGTTCGGTTATTTCTTCGGGTTTTTTCGAGCAAAACCATAACCAAACCAAATACCATCGGTTCTTAACAATCTAAAATCAAACCAAACCAAAACCCAAATTAAATCGATTCATTTAATCGGTTTGATTTGGTTTTTCGGTTTGAATCGGTTTTTATTCAAACCATGAACACCCCTACATGACAATGTGTAACACCGTAAAACGACACAATCTATTCAGTATTCAAACCTTAGTTTCATCGTCTGGTCCGTGTTACTTTGGATACTGATGTCATGAAAACATTTGAGGCAGAGCAATATCCATTATGTCTGTTGCATCTTCTTTCTCAAGTTTTGCTTCTTTAATCTCTTGTGCTACTTTTTTTTTTCTTTGCTGCACATATAAGATTCAAATTTTAGTTTTTCTATTATTTTAGCATATTTTATTTTTATTTGCAAAAATAAATAAACTAGTATAAGAATATATTTTTGATTAATTTAAGTTGTAACAAATAAGTTGATAACTTCAATATTTTTCTTAATAACTCCTTGTTTAAATTTAATTATTTAATTTGTTTAAAAAATAATTATTAATCTGTACATACTTAGCTACTTTATTTATTTTTATCTTTTAAAAAGAAAAAGACATTTGTTTTAGAAAAATTGAGCTAGTATACTTAAAACATATACAGTGGTGTGAAAGGGCTAGTTAAAGTCGTACCATTTTTCTTTTTGTTTTTTAAACATGTCTGTGCATTAATTATTTATCTTCTTTATTCGGTAATGACAAAAAAATATTTTATTTTTAAAATTTTTATAACTTGTTAGAGTAAAATTTAAGAAGTTGAATTTTTATTTTTGTAGTATCAGTTTAAGGATTTATTTAACATTTTTTATTTTAATTAGTAGAAATTTAATGAGCTTACGACCAATTTAATACACTGCACATTAAGTAATTGAGGGCCATATTACTATATACTATAACGAATATCAGTATTAATGTACCTCCAAGTGAAATTTATGTTACTCAAACTCTTTTAAAATGTTAATGCACCTGCCATAAATCCTCTAAAAATATATTAATTACAAAAATTCAACAATAGTTGGAAAAATACTCATGAATAATGATACAGTACTTGAGAATTTATTTAAAATAACCGAAAAAATATGATGACTAAAGAAGAACGAAATTAAAATTACATTAGATGGATGAGATGTTCTTAAATATAGGTGTACATTAACCTCTTAATTACTTTGAAGAAGCAAATGTCAACCCCGAAGATTTAAATTTCTCAAGCGTTATGTCATCAATGAATTTTGCCATATCCTTTGTCAAATAATTCTTCCAATCGCCAATTTCTCCTTTTCGAAAAAGTTGACTGTTACTTACTCCTGCACGGTTTCATATATATATTTCTCACTCTTATTCACTTCTAAATTGCTTCAATTTTCGAAATTACAACGTGACACAATTTCTTGAGGCACACCTCGCTCTTGTTCCTCCTTAGAGAATGGTTTGTCCATGAAATCAGCCAACTTTTTCACATAACCCAACGTGTCCTCCTTCAAATCTTCGTACTTGAAGAAGAACACTCTCTCGGGTCTCTCAACACTTGCTTTCCAGTATCCCAATACGTGATCCCAGTAAGGTCCATATCCGGATTTTCCTTGGCAAAACCTCTTAAATGCTTGATCGAGTGTAACTAGGGATACTTTACTACTTAATTTAGCTTTGATCTTTTGTGTGAAATGCCACCAAGAAACAAATGTATCTTTTGGTTATCTACATATGTAAATGATCTTGCAATTATCTTATTCTAATATAGATTTTGGTAAGAGTGTGTAAGGAAGATGTGTTGATAATAATGGCAACTCCGCGTCTACAAATTTAGGATTGGAGAGAAAAGCTAATTCCAAGAAGGGTATGCATTCAGGGGTAACTTATTGAGTAAAGTGCTATTTGTAAAATCGTCATGTCTAGTCATAATGGAAAAGGTTAAGGCATTACGCCAAGTGGTGCCTGTTTTTGGAGCACTGCAAAGGAAAATATCAGAGGGTTGAGCTTTGAAGTTTTGTTGCATACATAGAGCTGATTCTAACAAGGGTGGATTGTACCAAAAGCCTTCATATTGACAGCTATCGAAAAAACGGATACTCAGACTCTCGTTTGGGAAGTGTTGATATCATCTCTTTGTATTGTTTGCGCATTTCGTTGAAAATTTCTAATCCATAATTCTCAGATAAGCAGCTAGTTTTGGAAGGGAAATTAGAGAAACTCATTTTTTGGAGAGTGTGAAAATGATGAAAAAAATAGAAACCAACTTGTCTATTGATATAGAGAGGAGAATTTTGGTAGCATATTGCAAGTGGTCCATCTGATGCTTAGATAATTAT